CCTCAAATACGAGGCCATGATGGCCAAAATGGAGGAATTACAGAAGAAGGTAGCCGAGGGCTCCGGGGAACCCATCATCCAGCTCCGGACCTGGACGCCATTCACCCCAAGGGTATTGGCGGCCCAAATCCCGGAAAAGTACCGAGGGCAACTCATCAAGCCCTATGAAGGAAAAACTGACCCCCAGGAGCACTACAACAGGTATCAAAACAGCATGATGATGATGGGGGAATCAGATGAATACTTATGTCGTTGGTTCCTTTCCACCTTGGAGGGACCAGCATACGAATGGTTCAATCGATTGCCCGAGGGCAGCATTGACTCTTGGCAAGATCTTGCCCAACGCTTCCTCACCCATTTTGCCGGAAGGAAGCGCGCGAGAAAGCACTTCTCCCAGCTCCTCTCCGTCAAGCAACAGCCTGACGAAACACTTCGGTCCTTCATTGACCGGTGGATGAAGGAGACAGACGAGGTCGAGGGCGCCGACGAGCGTACCCTCCTCGTCCTCTTCCAGGGGGTTCTCCGCAGTAGCCCCTACGCACGGAGCCTCATCACCGACCCCCCAAGATCATACCTCAGAGCACTCCAGCGGGGGAGCCTATACGCCGACGCCGACGACCTCCACTCCTTCAAGAAGAACGAGGGCCAGCCCTCGAAGAAGATAAACAACACGCCGGCCCCAAATGTGCCCTCGGCCGGAGGCCGAGACCATGGAAGCCACACCCAGCAGGGCCGTAATGAACGCCAATGGCGCCCTCGGCTGGACATGCCGAGGACTCCCCTCACGCACCCGGTGAGCACTGTCCTCAACTATGCGGAAGAGCAGGACCTTTTCCCCAAGGACCCTCGGTCGGCGAGGGAGATCTACGCCATCCACCAAGGCGGCACTTATTGCCGTTACCACAAAAGCACCTCCCACAATACAGACGATTGTGTCTCGTTAAAGAAGGCTATTGAACTCTTAATTCAACGGGGTGAGCTCCACCAATTCATCAAAAATGCCCCAAGGAAAAACACCGGGGAGAACACCGATAAAGAAGAAGGGGACACCGCAACAAAGAAACATGAAATCGGGAGGCTCAGTGACGGAGAGGAGTTCGAGGAGCCCCAGCCGAAGAAGTGCCACCTCCGCTAATCATGTTCCTCACCTTCGGCGTTAGTCTCAGCCTTGGGCCCTCGACCTCGAGGCACATTACCATCCCCTCGGCCTAGAGCCCTCGACCTTGAGCGGTGAATCTTAACAAAGCCGTTATCAAACAACGCACCCCTTGTATTCCGCTTATTTCTATGAATTTAATTAAACTACAACACAATCCAGACATCTTATCGGCCCCTTCGAGGCCAAATGCCCAGGTATGGCCGATGGTTTCTAAAGACGAGGGGCCTGCAAAAGGCTCACGTTTTTGGAGCGGGACGCTCGCCGCGTCGCCGGCACGCAACGCACGGCGACAGGCCTGAAAGAATGGCTGAGGTGACGAAATCCCCAAACTTGGGGGTGAAACGGCAGTCGTCGGAAACCGACCAAGCCTAGCCCGCGCCGTAAATAGACGACGGGACCCCCCAAGGTCAAGGGACGGTTCAGCGCCGGGGGATAACAGACGAACCCCCGGACGGATCACTTGGACCCCCTTCCGGCCGAGGCGGGGAAGCAACCCCCTCGGCCGAAGCCTAGAAGAAGGAACACACATCAGGAGGACTAACATATGACCTCCTGGCACAATCAAGGGACGGCCCAGTGTCGGGGGACTAACAGACGAACCCCCGGACGGATCACTTGGACCTCCTTTCGGCCGAGGCGGGGAATCAACCCCTCGGCCGAAGCCTAGAAGAAGGAACACACATCAGGAGGACTAACATACGACCTCCTGGCACAATCAAGGGACGGCCAGCGCCGGGGGACTAACAGACGAACCCCCGGACGGATCACTTGGACCTCCTTTCGGCCGAGGCGGGGAATCAACCCCTCGGTCGATGCCTGAAAGAAGGAACATACACCCAGAGGACTCCTGGAACTATCAAGGAAAGGCCCTCGGCCTCAATTCGATTCCACGTCACCAATGGCCCTCGGCCTTGGCATGATTCCACGTCACCAACGGCCCTCGGCCTCAGCGTGATCCCACATCACAATGGCCCTCGGCCTCAACATCAGACGGCCCTCGACCTCAACATGATTCCACATCACAATGGCCCTCGGCCTCAATATCAGACGGCCCTCGGCCTCAACATCAACAACGTCCCTCGACCTCAGCATCAGAACGGCCCTCGGCCTCAACATCAACAACGGCCCTCGGCCTCAACATCAACAACGGCCCTCGGCCTCAGCGTGAGGACATCACAATGGCCCTCGGCCTCAACATCAGACGGCCCTCGGCCTCAACATGACTCTATGTCATAACGGTTTTGGCCTTAGCGTGATCTCATATCACCAACGGCCCTCGACCTCAGCATGATTCCACATCACAATGGCCCTCGGCCTCAACATCAGACGGCCCTCGGCCTCAACATCAACAACGTCCCTCGACCTCAGCATCAGAACGGCCCTCGGCCTCAACATCAACAACGGCCCTCGGCCTCAGCGTGAGGACATCACAATGGCCCTCGGCCTCAACATCAGACGGCCCTCGGCCTCAACATGACTCTATGTCATAACGGTTTTGGCCTTAGTGTGATCTCACATCACCAACGGTCCTCGGCCTCAGCGTGATCCCACATCACAACGGCCCTCCGCCTCAACATCACAACGGCCCTCGGCCTCAACATCACAATGGCCCTCGGCCTCAACATCAGACGGCCCTCGGCCTAAACATGACACTATGTCATAACGGTTTTGGCCTTAGCGTGATCTCACATCACCAACGGCCCTCGGCTTCAGCGTGATTCCACATCACAACGGCCCTCGGCCTCAACATCAGAACGGCCCTCGGCCTCAACATCACCAATGGCCCTCGGCCTTGGCATAACGGTTTTGGCCTTAGCGTGATCTCACATCACCAACGGCCCTCGGCTTCAGCGTGATTCCACATCACAACGGCCCTCCGCCTCAACATCACAACGGCCCTCGGCCTCAACATCACCAATGGCCCTCGGCCTTGGCATAACGGTTTTGGCCTTAGCGTGATCTCACATCACCAAAAGCCCTCGGCCTCAACGTGATTCAACATCAACAATAGCCATCGGCCTCAGCGCGATTCCACATCACAACGGCCCTCGGCCTCAACATCAGAACGACCCTCAGTCTCAAAATCAACAACGGCCCTCGGCCTCAACATAAGGACGACCCTCGGCCTCAACATCAACAACGGCCCTCGGCCTCAGCGTGAGGACATCATGTTGGTCCCGTTAGTAATGGGAACAGTCTAGAGGGGGGTGAATAGACTGTTCAGGAATTTAAACTTTTCTCTAAGTCAAGTCTGACTTATCAGAGATGGTCGAAATCTGGTGACAGAGATGGTCAAGTTCTGATGGCAGAACTGGACCAGGCAGCGGATAAGTTTCTGTCCGGGTAGCCTCTAGAAGAAAGCTAAGACAAAATGCCTTTCTGATAACTCTGAAGGGAGATCTGCTGGACACAGATTCCAACCTAAAGAGTTAGTCAGTAGAATCTTAAGTGCAGAAAGTAAAAGCTGAAAGTAAATGACACCGGGGTTTTATAGTGGTTCAAGGAACAACTCGTTCCTCTAGTCCACTGTTCCACTAAGCTTGCAAAAACGACAGTTTACAACGCCTTAGTCCCTAGAACTTAAGAAGCACTCCTCGTCTTCTTCAAGTCTAGTTGCCACCCGGGATGCAGTCCTGCTTCCTGATGGCTGGTCTCGTTTCACTGAGTCTCTTGAAGTATCTCCACTTCATTTACTCCAGCTAATTTGAGACGTCCCTTCTTTTTCAAGAAGTGTTTGATATAGAATCAGTTTTCTCCAACGTTGCTTCTTCACAAAAGATGAGTATATGAAGCTCTCGAAGTGTTGAAGAACTGAGTAACTTTGCCTTTGCTAGTTGGATGAAGGATAGGAATGTTTTTCTTCCAACTGTGGCCTTTTCTTGTTAGAAATGGAGTTTTGATCTCAAGAAAGTTGTTCACGCAAATCTATCTTGGCAAAGGTTATGGCAAAGTTATCTTCTTAGTTCTTCAGAGTGTATCTTATATACTGGGAGCGGTCTTCCCGTTGGAGTGTAGAAGACAGCTTCATTAAATGCATGTATTGTTGACTTGACCGTTTGGTCCTCCGACTTGCTATTTTGGGGGCGCAAAGATATTCGCATGGTCAATCATCAGCTTTAAATATCTCTTCGTACGTATAGCATTAAATGTGCATTTAATGCGTGTACAGTGCCATGCTTCCGTTGAAAGGTTCGTAACCGTTAGGGGATTTCCCGTTAGTTTAACGACCGTTGGAAGGGCTTCCGGATTCTGATGATACTTAGCAGAGTCTCAAGAGGTTCTCTGGTCCAGTCTCTGAAGTCCGTCTCTGGTGCCAACTCTGGTATCTTTCTGATAACCAGTTTCTGATGGCTTCTCTGGTGAGCAACTCTGGGAGCAACTCTGGTAGAGGCAAGATGGAACTCTGGCAGGCAGACTAAGCTAAAACTTACAAAAGAAATTCTAATACATAATTTCTAATGGGGTACTTTCAAATTCTAATTAACCTAGCATCATCAAAATCTAAATACATTTATTCCTTACAATTTCCCCTTTTTTGATGATGCCAAAACCCTTTAACTATTTCCAGAGAAGTGCCTTTCACCATAAAAAATATAAAGTTAAGAGACTTTTTATTAGAATCTTGGTGGGCAACTTAGCATAGGAGAATAGTAAGAGTGCGATACATTCAGATAGCAATAATCAAGTATGATAACAGAATATACACAAGCAAGAAAATAAGAACAGATATTTGAAAAGAGCCAATCAAACAGAGAGGCAGAGATGGTATCTTATTAAACTGTTAGAGAAAGTAAAGCATTACAGAGTTAGATAAAAAGAGTTAGAGATCTTCTTCATCTACCTGTGGTCCTGCTCTGTCAATCCTTTCAAGTTCAGCATTCACCTTCGCTCTGATTGAGGCTAAATCTCTAGGATTCTGATAGTCAGCCCAATGAGGTGCAAGTTTGCAATCCAGATAGTTTCTGACAGCTTCAGCAGAATTCTTGCCATTCAGAATTTTCATTCCGTACCACATCTCAGCTTCTTCTATCGAACCACCGTGGTTGATTTGGACAAGTCCATCATTGTCCATGAACAGATTCTCTCTTTGAAGAGGGGTCATCAATTTTCTCATTTGTTCAAACTGAACTCTGTCTGGCCTTGACAGACCACTCTTCATCCAATCAGTGAATGAAAAGGATGAAGGCTTTTTCTTTGAGCTTCTGGGAGGAGGAGGAGGAGGTCTGGTGCCTGTAGCAGCTAGCCTTTTCTTTCTGGTAGCATCAAAGTAAGGAGTAGGATCCACGGATGAGGGTTCTCTGATAGAAAGAGCTCTGGTGCTGGTGCCTTCTCCTTCTCTGGTATCTTCCCCCTTTTTGGCATCACAAAGATCACCAAGGAGAAGTTCAATCTTGGAAAACTCAGAGGCTTGAGCATCTCTGATTTCATCAAGGGTTTCTGGCAGTGTCTGAGTGACAGAGGCAAGACCTTCAATCAGGCTTTGTTGCTTGTCTACTGCAGATTGGAGATCTCTGGTGCTGACCTCTAGAAGCACCATCTTCTGGTACCTTTCTCTGTCAGATTTCAGAAGGGCTAGGCCTTGCTCTTGATGTTCCTTGCAGAGAGAATGTAAGATGTTGAGTTTCTGGGAGGAACTATCAGCAGATTTCTGAAGATTGTGAACAGATTCTGAGATCCTGTTGATTGTCTGATTCTGGGCAAGCAGAGCTTGAGAGTGAGAGTGGAGAACAGAATTGAGTCCACTAACATCTCTGGAGACAGAATCAATCCTCGAGGTAGAGGAATGCATGAAGTTGTGCAGATTCTCTGTGAGAGCAGCAACTTTATCTGACAGGTGTTGAAAACCTATGGTGATTTGCAGATTGGTATGGGTGAGTTCTTCATGTTGTTTGTCATTTAATTCAATAATCTTGCTCAGATCTTGAACCAGTATTCCACCAAAAGCTTCAGCAGACTTCACAAACTGGGTGAAGGGGATTTTGGATTCTTCAGGTGTGAAGTCAGGCGTTTCCAATCCTCTGCCTTTTGGTAATGGAGGAGCTCTGTTGGATGGTGGAGGGGAAGGAACTCTGGGGGGTGTCCTTCTCCTTTTGGAGGTTTCATCAGCAGCAATGGAGGAGGTGAGGAATCCATCATTGTCACTAGATGAGGAGGGAACCCTGAAGATAGGCTTCTTCTTTGGTGTAGATGCTGCAGAGTGATGTGAGGATCTCTGAGGTGAGGCAGACTTGGATGTTGGTGAAGGGTCCTGGTGCTGTGGTGGAGAGTGAGTAAGTGGGGCATTCTGTTGAGGTGGGGATGGTGGAGGTGAGGGTGAACGGTTTCTGAAAGAGACAATTGCTCTGCAGGGAGATGCAATTTTTTGTTTGGGTGAAGATGAGCTGGAGTTGGGTTTCTGGTGAGATGGGGTTCTGGTGGAGGGTGAGGTTTTCTGTTGGGGTGAAGGGGTTTTCTGGTGAGGTGGGGATGAAGGTTTAGATGGAGATTTGGAGGGTGAGGGTAGAGTAATAGGAGATTGGGGAGGGGAAGGAGGGGGTGTAGGAATTACCTCAAGTACAATCTCAGAGTACACAGATTCTCTCCACTCCTTGATCAGCTGCTCCATGGTAATAGCAATGTCATTCGCAGTGGATGGCTCTCCTTCCTCAAGAGCACTATGGCGAAATTTGATCATTGATTCTTTCCTTTTCTTCTCCATCAGCCAAGCATCAAAAGTTTCCATTTCTTCTTCTTCCAAGGCTCTGACATGCCTTACTGGAGATAGGTCAGATGTTGGAGCTTTACCTTGATATCTGTCTTTCTTCTTTTGTAGCACAGATATCAGAAAGGTAAGGTTGAAGCATTTTGACACATCATCTGTGCTTACCCAGTGAAGAACAGCAGCTTCTTCTTCTTCATAGGCATCAAAGAATTGGATGATTTGTTGAAGAGGACCCATTCTCCATCTTCTCCAAGCTAGAACTCTGTCAAACTGCTTTTGCAGAATGATGTTGAAGTCTGTTTCTTGGTCTATTTCTGGTGAGGCTTCACGCTCTGGTGAGAGAGCAGAGTTGGGCAACTCTGGTGCAGAATCTTGGTGAGTTTCTGGTAGAGTGCGAGATTCTGGTGCAAGTTCCCCCTGAATTGCTGAATCGTTGGCAGGTGAGACTACTTTAGTCTTCCTCTTCTTCTGCCTTGGTTTAGTGCTAGAGTTGTCAGAATCACCACTTAGCACAACCATCTTTTTTCTCCTCTTCTGCTTCAGTTTTCTGGCAGCAGATTTCTTGGTTGCCTTTGGTGAGGGCATCTCTGGTGCAGCCTTTTCTGCTGTTTCCTTCTCTGGTAGTGACAGATTGTCACTTTTCTTCTTCTGTCTAACCTCCCTTACAACCTGTGACTGCTCAGGTTGTTTGGGCGTTTTGGTAACTTTCTTGGCAGGTCTGGCCTTGGCAGCCTGTTCTTCCCTTTTCTTTTCCAGTCTTTCCTCTCTCCTAAGTTCAGAAGAGATGGCAATGTTGAATTTTGGAGAGGCTGTGAGGAAGATGGTCTTGGTGTGGTCAACTGGGATAGGATCCCTGAGTTGAACTCCTTTTGCAGCAAGGATGGCAGAGATAAGAAGTCCATGTCCCATCTTGGTTGAGAAAAGACCTGTTTCAGAGTCTTTCTTCTTGATGAAGTCAGTTATAGAGCCAAAAGTTACCTCTCCCCAGTTGATATTCATGCCATGGTGCACTGCAAAGATTGCCTTGGCATTGCTTGTGTTCATCTCATCAGTTGAGGCTGTTTTGCACCACAAACAACGGTGCAGAATGGTGACAAGCTTCTCATAGTCCTTCTTGAGTTGAAATTTCTTCATGTAGAGTTTATCCAGTCCGGCAGCCTCCGGACGGCAGTAAGTCTGGACAAAACCTTCAGTGGAGACTTCCACTGAGTCAAGAGCAATGAGATTGCTGGATTCTGGGTCTTGGGAGTCAAGTTGAACTCCAAAGAACTCATTCAGTGCATCTGCATTCAAGAAGATGCGTTGACCCTGTACGGATGAGTGAACTCCGGTCCTGGAGATGGTGGCGTTGAGGTAGAACTCAGCCACATCTTTGATGCTGAAATGCTCATAGGGATGAGCAACAACCTTAGAAAGTTGTGAGTCAGTCATCCCTTGGATGATCTTCGTCATCCTCTTTTGATTTTCTGCCAGGAGGGGTAGGGAGGACATGTCAACTTTCATGCCGGAGACAACATTGGCTATGAGAGTTTTTGCTTCTTCCTTAGAAAGGTCGTTGATGCTCAGGAAGTTCATCTTGAGTGACGGTTAGGAAAATTTCTGGGTATTGGAAAGTTTTTGGGATTTGAAAGCTTTGAATGCTAGAGCAGTTTAAGAGAGATGAAGTTGCAGTAGGGATTTGGGTCGAAGACGGTGGATATAAAGGAGTTAGGAATAGTGGACGTTTGGTATATTGGCAGTTTCGAGGCAGCATTTAAAGAAATGCGGGCGGAAACGTTTCCGTTAGAAGAGTAACGATCAGGGGTATTTTGGTAAAAGACCGTTTCAATTAATTAGGTCTAGCCCGTACCTCGAAATATTGTTAAGTCCACTTCCGTATCTGTTGTCTTCGGTTGAGGAACTCTGGTCAGAGAAGGGGAGGTTCTCTGATGTGAGATTCTGATGATCAGAGATAGTGGTTCTCTGATCCGAGTTTCTGGTGCAGAAGAAGGCAATTCTGGTTCAGTGAATCTTTGGTTCATGCATCTCTGGGAAGATCATCCATCATTCTCAATTCTTCCCTAAGCTTGTTAAACCTTGCCTCAGGTAAAGGCTTGGTTAGAATGTCTGCAAGTTGATCTTCTGTAGGTACATGCTCCATACAGATATGCTTCTTTTCAACATGATCTCTGATGAAGTGATGTCTGATCTCAATGTGCTTTGTCCTGGAGTGAAGAACTGGATTCTGAGTGATAGCAATGGCACTAGTGTTGTCACACAACAGCTTGATCTCCTTTGCTTGAATTCCATAGTCCTTCAGTTGTTGCTTCATCCAGAGTAGCTGAGCACAGCAACTCCCAGCTGCAATGTATTCAGCCTCAGCTGTACTTGTTGAGATGGAGTTCTGCTTCTTGCTAAACCAGGAAACAAGCCTTCCTCCTAGCAATTGGCAGTGACCAGAGGTGCTCTTTCTGTCTAGTCTGCAACCTGCAAAATCTGAGTCAGAATAACCAATTAGTTCAAAGTTACCTCCTTTGGGATACCATAAGCCTGCATTTGGATTTCCTTTGATGTATCTGATGATTCTCTTTGCAGCACTTAGATGGCTTTCCTTGGGCTTTGATTGGTATCTGGCACAGATTCCAACAGAGAACGAGATATCTGGTCTGCTTGCAGTTAGATACAACAGAGATCCAATGATCCCTCTGTATGTTGTTGCATCCACATCTTTTCCTTCATCATCTGGACCAATCCCTTGTGAAGTGTTCATGGGAATCTTCACTGATGATTTGCCTTCCACTCCAAACTTCTTGATCAGATCTCTGGTGTACTTCCCTTGATTGATAAAGATCCCTTCTGCAACCTGTTTGACTTGAAGTCCTAGGAAGTAACTGAGTTCTCACATCATACTCATTTCAAATTGACTCTGCATCACTTGAGAAAATTTCTTGCACAGTTCTGGATTAGTACTACCAAATATAATGTCATCAACATATATTTGTACTAACAGAATATGATTAGCAACAGAGATTTGAAATAGAGTTTTGTCAACCTTTCCTTTAGTAAACCCATGGTTCACTAGGAAAAGGGACAATGTGTCATACCAGGCTCTGGGAGCTTGCTTAAGACCATAGAGGGCCTTTTTAAGCTTGTAGACACAAGAAGATTGAGTAGGAGTGACAAAACCTGGTGGTTGTTCCACATAAACCTCTTCTTCAAGATCTCCATTCAGAAATGCACTCTTGACATCCATCTGGTAGACCTTGATGTTGTTGTAGGCAGCATAGGCTAGAAAGATTCTGATGGCTTCAAGTCTGGCAACTGGTGCAAAGGTTTCATCAAAATCTATTCCTTCTTCTTGACAGTATCCTTTAGTCACTAGCCTTGCTTTGTTCCTTACAATGTTGCCGTCTTCATCTGCTTTGTTCTTGAATACCCATTTGGTTCCAATGACATTCTGGTGCTTTGGCCTAGGAACAAGTTCCCATACTTTGTTCCTCTCAAACTGAGTGAGCTCTTCTTGCATAGCATTGATCCAATCTGAGTCTGCAAGAGCTTCTTCAACTGTCATAGGTTCCATCTGAGATATGTAGCAGGCAAGCATTGCTTCTCTCCTTGATGTGGATCTGGTTTGAACTCCACTTCTGATTTGTCCAATTACTTGATTAGGAGGATGATCTCTTAACCAAGTAAGATCAGGTTCTGATAGGGGTTGCCTTCGATTCTCTTGTTCTTCTTCTGATTCTTCATCACTATCCTTGCTTTGCAGGATGGGATTCTGATGATTCATTGGTATGGCAGAGTTAGTCAGCAACTCTGGTGTATCCGTCTCTGGTGGATCCAGTTCTGGAGATTCTTTGAGATTCGCTTTCTCCAAGTTTTCAGTTATGCTCTCAACAGAGTTGAGATCATCAAACTTGACATGAATCGATTCTTCAACAAGTAAAGTTCTCTTGTTGAGTATTCTGTAGGCTTTGCTGGTGCCAAAGTAGCCTAAGAATGTTCCTTCATCAGCTTTTTCTTGAAACACCTTGAGGTGATCCTTCCCATTGTTGAGTATATAGCATTTGCATCCAAATGCATGAAAGTAGCTGATGTTGGGTTTTCGTCCTTTCCATAATTCATAAGGAGTTTTCTGATGAGTCTTGTGAATCATGCTCCTGTTCTGGGTGTAGCATGCAGTATTGATTGCTTCAGCCCAGTATCTGTAGGGTAGACCTGATTCAGCAATCATGGTCCTTGCAGCTTCCTTTAATGTTCTATTTCTTCTTTCTGCAATTCCATTCTGTTGAGGAGTTCTGGCTGCAGAGAGTTGATGCATTGTACCATTCTGGTCACAGAAATCCTGTATGACCTTGTTGACGAACTCTGTTCCTCTGTCTGATCTGATGGCTTTGATTTTCTGATTCTGCTCATTCTGTAATAGCTTTAGCAGAGATGGCAGTTTCTGCAAAGTTTCATTTTTCTTGGTCAGAAAGATAGTCCATGTGAATCTGGAGTAGTCATCCACCATGACTAAGGTGTATCTCTTGCCACCAACACTTGGAGTTTCCACTGGTCCAAATAAATCCATGTGGATTAGATTCAGAGGACCAGTAGATAGGTTTCCAGCAATGGGTTTGAAGGAATTCTTCACTTGTTTTCCTTTCTGACATGCACTGCATAGATTCTCCTTTTTGTATACAAGGTTGGGTAGACCTTCAACAATGTGATCCCTTGCCAGTTTGTTGATTGTTTTGAAATTCAAGTGACTCAGTTTCTTGTGCCATTCCCAACTGAGTTTTGAATCTCCTTTGGTTATCAGGCAAATTCCATCTTTTGCAGTTGACCAATCAACCACATAGATGTTTTTCTTTCTTGTTGCTGTTAGAACCACTTCTTTAGTTGTCTCATGCTTGACAGAACATCCTTCCTTGGAGAATTCAACTGTGTAGCCTTTGTCACAGAATTGGCTAGCACTCAGCAAGTTGAATTTCAATCCCTTGACATAAGAGACATCATCAATGATTATCTGGTTCTTTATCAGCTTCCCTCTTCCTTTTGTCTGGCCATCTTTATCATTACCTCCAAAGGTAACTCTGGGCCCTTTGACTTTCTGGAACTCTGTTAGGCAACTCTTGTCACCTGTCATGTGCCTGGAGCATCCACTATCAATGTACCAATCTTGCTCAGAGATGGCTCCAGCACACAGTTCCTACAAAATTAAAAGGAAGATTTAGGTACCCAAGCAATGTTGGGTCCTAGGGGGTTATGCAGTCTTGGCAGCCGGTACCACTTTGGTCTCATCAAGTGAAACCTAGGTGGGTGGTACCCATTGTCCACCTGGTAGTCATAGTAAACGGAAGTGTGATTCACTTTGGGCAGATGCTTGTGAGGATCATGCTTCCGGTTTACATACTTCTGCATAGCCTTTTTAGTTGGGTAGAAGTCCCATATACTATCAAGATCAGAGGAGCGATTAACTTTGGGCTTCTTAAGTTGACCAGCCAACCTTTTCTGCCTAAAGTTAATTTTCTCTTGATATCTGCCTTTCTGGTGATCATCTCTGACACGATTATCATGAGTTTGTCTGTTATGGTTCTGTCTTTGATGTTTGGTATTCTGAAAATCTTTCCTGTTGTTAGTTCTTCTGCCAGGTTCATTAACTTTTAAAATGGGTTTCTGTTGAACCTTTATCTTTTCCCTTTCTGGTCTGACATTCTCATGAATAACCTTGGTGCCAGATACACCAGCCTGACAAATGGGCCTAGAAATCAGTGACACTATGACCTTGTCTGCCTTAGCAACTCTGGTGCTAGGCATTACAGAAGGCTCACCTGATTCTGTTGAGCCATAACCAAGACCAAAACCAGTGCCAATTTGTTGGTCAAGTACAATCTTTTCCATTGAAGACTGGGCCTTCTGGTAAGCTTTGTACTTAATCTCAAGAGGCTCTATCTCTCTTATTTTCTTTAGAAGAGACATTTTCAGCTTCCAGCTGATCTCTTTCCTCAATCAGAAGATTGATTTTGATCTCAACCTCCTTTCTTAAGTCAAGGATCTCAGCCTTAAGCTTACTGTTTTCTTCTTTAACAGAAGAATAAGTGGTTTGTATGGCTTGAAACTCTTCCCAAAATTCTGACATTGAATCAGAATCAAAGGCTCTGCCTACCGAAGAAAAACTAGAGTTGGAAGTAGAAGATACCTCATCATCAGATTGACCCATAAGACATAGGTCTTCAGTTTCTGTGTCCAGGCAACAGAATGCTTCATCAGATTCTGATTCCGAACTGGACTCTGTCTCAGAGAGGGGGTCCTTCTCTGGTTGTTCAGTGATGAGTGCTTTCCTTCTTCGGTGCTCGTACTTCTTTTCTCCTTCCTGGCCTTACCTTTTGGAGACTATGGGGTGTGGACAGTTGACTTTGAAGTGCCCCGGTTGTCTGCAGTTGTAGCAGAGAAGCTCTCCACTACTTTCTGATGGTTTGGACTTCTGGTGTGGCTTTCTGCTAGAGTGTGGACTTCTGCTATCCTTTGGCTTCAGAAATTTCCTGAACTTCCTAGCAAAAGCCGCCATATATTCATCAGTTAAAAGAATAGACGGGTCAAAATTATTTACCTGAGAGGTGCTGGCAGTGAGGGCAGTAGTTGTTCTGTCCTCAACTTCTTCTTTCTCTTCTTCATTCATCTCAAACTCATAAGACTTGAGATCAGAGATGAGTTTCTCAGTGTTGTAGGTTCTGAGGTCCTTGCTATCTCTCATGGCAGTGACCTTCATCTTCCATGGTGAAGGTAAACCTCTGAGAACCTTCAAGTTGATCTCCTTGGGAGTAAGTTCCTTCCCAAGTTCTGATATCTCAGCAGTGAGGGTGAGCAAGCGTGCATACATCTCAGCTATGCATTCTTTGGGTAGAAGTTTGAAATCTTCAAACTTCTTCATGGCAATAGTAAGTTTGTTGTCCTTTTCTTGCTCATCTCCAGCTCCTATCAGGGTGAGAGTATCCCAGATTTCCTTGGCAGATTTGCACTTCTTGATCCTTGTGAAGTACTTGTCATCAATGGCCTTGTAGAGGATATCCTTGGCAATGTTGTCAAGGTTGTACTTTCTCCTTTCTTCATTAGACCATTCATGGCGCAGTTTGGTGATCATCTGGGGTTGACCACTACCAGTGATGTATTCAGGGTTGACCTTGGTGAACTCTGTGAAAGGTCCTGCATCAAGAACTTCCCACATTTCGTCATGGAGTGCGCAGAGGTGAGCTTTCATGCGGATCCTCCAGTCATCAAACTTTGTCACTGAGAACATAAGATTCTTGTTTAGTAAGTAACCTAAAAGATTACAAGAACAAGGAGGCTCTGATACCACTTGTTGGTCCCGTTAGTAATGGGAACAGTCTAGAGGGGGGGTGAATAGACTGTTCAGGAATTTAAACTTTTCTCTAAGTCAAGTCTGACTTATCAGAGATGGTCGAAATCTGGTGACAGAGATGGTCAAGTTCTGATGGCAGAACTGGACCAGGCAGCGGATAAGTTTCTGTCCGGGTAGCCTCTAGAAGAAAGCTAAGACAAAATGCCTTTCTGATAACTCTGAAGGGAGATCTGCTGGACACAGATTCCAACCTAAAGAGTTAGTCAGTAGAATCTTAAGTGCAGAAAGTAAAAGCTGAAAGTAAATGACACCGGGGTTTTTATAGTGGTTCAAGGAACAACTCGTTCCTCTAGTCCACTGTTCCACTAAGCTTGCAAAAACGACAGTTTACAACGCCTTAGTCCCTAGAACTTAAGAAGCACTCCTCGTCTTCTTCAAGTCTAGTTGCCACCCGGGATGCAGTCCTGCTTCCTGATGGCTGGTCTCGTTTCACTGAGTCTCTTGAAGTATCTCCACTTCACTTACTCCAGCTAATTTGAGACGTCCCTTCTTTTTCAAGAAGTGTTTGATATAGAATCAGTTTTCTCCAACGTTGCTTCTTCACAAAAGATGAGTATATGAAGCTCTCGAAGTGTTGAAGAACTGAGTAACTTTGCCTTTGCTAGTTGGATGAAGGATAGGAATGTTTTTCTTCCAACTGTGGCCTTTTCTTGTTAGAAATGGAGTTTTGATCTCAAGAAAGTTGTTCACGCAAATCTATCTTGGCAAAGGTTATGGCAAAGTTATCTTCTTAGTTCTTCAGAGTGTATCTTATATACTGGGAGCGGTCTTCCCGTTGGAGTGTAGAAGACAGCTTCATTAAATGCATGTACTGTTGACTTGACCGTTTGGTCCTCCGACTTGCTATTTTGGGGGCGCAAAGATATTCGCATGGTCAATCATCAGCTTTAAATATCTCTTCGTACGTATAGCATTAAATGTGCATTTAATGCGTGTACAGTGCCATGCTTCCGTTGAAAGGTTCGTAACCGTTAGGGGATTTCCCGTTAGTTTAACGACCGTTGGAAGGGCTTCCGGATTCTGATGATACTTAGCAGAGTCTCAAGAGGTTCTCTGGTCCAGTCTCTGAAGTCCGTCTCTGGTGCCAACTCTGGTATCTTTCTGATAACCAGTTTCTGATGGCTTCTCTGGTGAGCAACTCTGGGAGCAACTCTGGTAGAGGAAAGATGGAACTCTGGCAGGCAGACTAAGCTAAAACTTACAAAAGAAATTCTAATACATAATTTCTAATGGGGTACTTTCAAATTCTAATTAACCTAGCATCATCAAAATCTAAATACATTTATTCCTTACACATCACAATGGCCCTCGGTCTCAACATCAGACAGCCCTCGGCCTCAACATGACTCTATGTCATAACGGTTTTGGCCTTAACGTGATCTCACCTCACCAACGGCCCTCGGCCTCAGCGTGATTCCACATCACAACGGCCCTCGGCCTCAACATCAGAACGGCCCTCGGCCTCAACATCACCAACGGCCCTCGGCCTCAGCGTGATTCCACATCACAATGGCCCTCGGCCTCAACATCAACAACGGCCCTCGGCCTCAGCGTGAGGACATCACAATGGCCCTCAGCCTCAACATCAGACGGCCCTCGGCCTCAACATGACCCTATGTCATAATGGTTTTGGCCTTAGCGTGATCTCACATCACCAACGGCCCTCGGCCTCAGCATGATTCCACATCACAACGGCCCTCGGCCTTCATCCCTCCGACATCTTTATTTGATGTCAGGGGCTATCATACAGGCCCATCGGCCTTCATCCCTCCGGCATCTTTATTTGATGTCGGGGGCAATCACACAGGTCCCTCGGCCTTCATCCCCCGGCATCTTTATTTGATGTCGGGGGCTATCATACAGGCCCATCGGCCTTCATCCCTCCGGCATCTTTATTTGATGTCGGGGGCAATCACACAGGTACCTCGGCCTTCATCCCTCCGGCATCTTTATTTGATGCCAGAGGCTATCATACAGGCCCATCGGCCTTCATCCCTCCGACATATTTATTTGATGTCGGGGGCAATCACACAGGTCCCTTGGCCTTCATCCCTCTGGCATCTTTATTTGATGCCAGGGGCTGTCATACAAGCCCCTCAGCCTAGCTTTCATCCCTTCGACATCTTTATTTGATGTCAGGGGCTATCATACAGGCCCTCGGCCTTCACCCCTCCGGCATATTTATTTGATGTCGGGGGCAATCACACAGGCCCCTCGGTCTCCATCCCTCCGGCATCTGTATTTGATGCCAGGGGCTCTCACACAGGCCCACCTGGCCTTGCACCCCTCCGTCACCTTTATTTGATAACGGGGGGTCCTTACAAGCTCCTCAGCTTTTTCATGCAGGATCTAAGGTTGGTCTTCGATATCCCCTCAGCAGACGGACACAACCACCGCTCAAAAATCTAGGCCGAAGGGTGCATTCCTTTTGCTTCATTCTGGGGGCATCCGGTGTACTCTTTTCCCCTCATTAGGATTTTTTTTCCCACAGGGTTTTTTCCTAATGAGGTTTTTTAACGAGGCATCTCCCCATTGTGGAACAAAAGGCGTCACCCCCCGGCGGCTCCTGCTGAAGGCATGCATCACTCTACTCCTGTTTCCCTCGAGAAACTCTCGGCAAAAGGAGTGGGGGACTGGGGGACTCCCCTCGGCAAAACACGCAAATG